TTTCGGTCATTAACAATACCAAAGTGTCGTCAATAATGAAGGGTGAAAATATATAAATGTATACACGAAGGCAGATATAAGGAAAACTAGTGTAGGTTTAGCATTTCGACATCATAAATAATATAGAAGAAGGAGAAGAAAATAGTTTATTAACGTGTGACATATTAAAGGTAATAATGCATGCTTGAAGGGCCAAGACATCGTTAAGCCGGTAAACCCAAGCGACCTCTAAGGAGCTAGAAGGTTAGCTGTCACCGGGTACCCCTTCACTGTGAGTGAACAGAGTAAAGTTTGAACACGTCTGAACGAGGAAACCAAACAATCTCAGGGGGACCCAATTTAAGGCGTTTTATAATCTTACAATAGCATTCACATACACACATGCAACAAACGTTTTATCACATTTTGTATACTTATTTAATAGCAGGTACAAAAACCATATCCTGGCTTCACATTATTTAATTAAGGGCATAATCAACTCTCATCTTCTGCATGTCAAGGAAACACTGTGGCACTGAGTCATCCCACGACTGACATAAAGGAAATGCCACTCAACCTGAATTATATTTCATTCAAGAGAACCGTATGGAACTGCAATCTCATCTCCCACAGTAATTAATCGATGATTTAAACCGTTTAAAATGCTATCCCGAAGAATACTATTTACATATAAAACTAATACATATTCATAGATCCAATAATACAGGACATCGTCAAAAGGTTTCAGTCGTGAAACATATTCAGAAATCCATTTGTATGTATGCAGTTCGTATTGTGTGCATCATGTATTTTGTCTAATTTAGCATTAAAGTATAAAGCAGCACAAAAAAGACGCAGTAACCATACTGATGGTGTACATTCCAGTTAGCTACAAATGGCAAAAATGGTTGATAGGTAGATACTATTCAACAGGAAATATATACTTCCCATCAAAAGATTAGACTCACTAGTGTAAATATAGCCACTTCCTTCAGGCAACTGTTGTAAAGTTGATTTGCAACATATTCCATACTGCTTAAAGGTAATGTTTACGCATGAACTGATGTATTGCAAAGAACGTTGAAAAGAAAATGTTCATGAGTTCAATAAATGATATACATCAGTGAAAATTGGCGAATTCCTAACAAAACGTTACACCAAAACGCAGCTGATCCTCGTGCAATTCATCTGCATATGGTTTGCATTTGGTTCCCCCAATTTAGTGGAGAAATCAATCTTCGACGTAACCTCATATAATTACATAACATATAGTGAGTGCATTAAGTGAGGCTAAACTTTTGATAGGAAGTATATGTATTTCTGACTTGTACTCTCCCTGTCGCGCTCTGAGCTTATGTGTATATGGGATTATTCCAACTCAAGGCTCCAGAAATAGACATGGTACAGTAGACTTAAGTTACGACAAGACGTTGTTATTCCATGTCAAACTGCAGGAATAAAATTACTGCTAAGGCGGACATATTCTAATCGGAAATGGAATGATATTATATATGTGTACAGGTACACATATCTCGGAATACAACTTCATGAAAATGGAAAGTTCAAAGGTTGTACACAAGTTCTGACTAGGATAGCCACAGGTGCTTGTCATAGATCCAAGCGATCGGTCTTTTATGATGATATCACAGTAAAACTAGCAATAAAACCTGACTATAAAGATATATGTAAACTTTCTTCATCTTGTAGCAAACCAATGTGGAGTAGGTGATAGAGCTTATCGGTAAAAACACAAAATTGAACAACTTGTTAGTTAACCATCCTTTTATTGCAAAAAGTTTTGTCTACAGAAAAAGCATGGTGAAACGACCAAACATTTTACAATTATTTTCGGTCATTAACAATACCAAAGTGTCGTCAATAATGAAGGGTGAAAATATATAAATGTATACACGAAGGCAGATATAAGGAAAACTAGTGTAGGTTTAGCATTTCGACATCATAAATAATATAGAAGAAGGAGAAGAAAATAGTTTATTAACGTGTGACATATTAAAGGTAATAATGCATGCTTAAAGGGCCAAGACATCGTTAAGCCGGTAAACCCAAGCGACCTCTAAGGAGCTAGAAGGTTAGCTGTCACCGGGTACCCCTTCACTGAGTGAACAGAGTAAAGTTTGAACACGTCTGAACGAGGAAACCAAACAATCTCAGGGGGACCCAATTTAAGGCGTTTTATAATCTTACAATAGCATTCACATACACACATGCAACAAACGTTTTATCACATTTTGTATACTTATTTAATAGCAGGTACAAAAACCATATCCTGGCTTCACATTATTTAATTAAGGGCATAATCAACTCTCATCTTCTGCATGTCAAGGAAACACTGTGGCACTGAGTCATCCCACGACTGACATAAAGGAAATGCCACTCAACCTGAATTATATTTCATTCAAGAGAACCGTATGGAACTGCAATCTCATCTCCCACAGTAATTAATCGATGATTTAAACCGTTTAAAATGCTATCCCGAAGAATACTATTTACATATAAAACTAATACATATTCATAGATCCAATAATACAGGACATCGTCAAAAGGTTTCAGTCGTGAAACATATTCAGAAATCCATTTGTATGTATGCAGTTCGTATTGTGTGCATCATGTATTTTGTCTAATTTAGCATTAAAGTATAAAGCAGCACAAAAAAGACGCAGTAACCATACTGATGGTGTACATTCCAGTTAGCTACAAATGGCAAAAATGGTTGATAGGTAGATACTATTCAACAGGAAATATATACTTCCCATCAAAAGATTAGACTCACTAGTGTAAATATAGCCACTTCCTTCAGGCAACTGTTGTAAAGTTGATTTGCAACATATTCCATACTGCTTAAAGGTAATGTTTACGCATGAACTGATGTATTGCAAAGAACGTTGAAAAGAAAATGTTCATGAGTTCAATAAATGATATACATCAGTGAAAATTGGCGAATTCCTAACAAAACGTTACACCAAAACGCAGCTGATCCTCGTGCAATTCATCTGCATATGGTTTGCATTTGGTTCCCCCAATTTAGTGGAGAAATCAATCTTCGACGTAACCTCATATAATTACATAACATATAGTGAGTGCATTAAGTGAGGCTAAACTTTTGATAGGAAGTATATGTATTTCTGACTTGTACTCTCCCTGTCGCGCTCTGAGCTTATGTGTATATGGGATTATTCCAACTCAAGGCTCCAGAAATAGACATGGTACAGTAGACTTAAGTTACGACAAGACGTTGTTATTCCATGTCAAACTGCAGGAATAAAATTACTGCTAAGGCGGACATATTCTAATCGGAAATGGAATGATATTATATATGTGTACAGGTACACATATCTCGGAATACAACTTCATGAAAATGGAAAGTTCAAAGGTTGTACACAAGTTCTGACTAGGATAGCCACAGGTGCTTGTCATAGATCCAAGCGATCGGTCTTTTATGATGATATCACAGTAAAACTAGCAATAAAACCTGACTATAAAGATATATGTAAACTTTCTTCATCTTGTAGCAAACCAATGTGGAGTAGGTGATAGAGCTTATCGGTAAAAACACAAAATTGAACAACTTGTTAGTTAACCATCCTTTTATTGCAAAAAGTTTTGTCTACAGAAAAAGCATGGTGAAACGACCAAACATTTTACAATTATTTTCGGTCATTAACAATACCAAAGTGTCGTCAATAATGAAGGGTGAAAATATATAAATGTATACACGAAGGCAGATATAAGGAAAACTAGTGTAGGTTTAGCATTTCGACATCATAAATAATATAGAAGAAGGAGAAGAAAATAGTTTATTAACGTGTGACATATTAAAGGTAATAATGCATGCTTAAAGGGCCAAGACATCGTTAAGCCGGTAAACCCAAGCGACCTCTAAGGAGCTAGAAGGTTAGCTGTCACCGGGTACCCCTTCACTGAGTGAACAGAGTAAAGTTTGAACACGTCTGAACGAGGAAACCAAACAATCTCAGGGGGACCCAATTTAAGGCGTTTTATAATCTTACAATAGCATTCACATACACACATGCAACAAACGTTTTATCACATTTTGTATACTTATTTAATAGCAGGTACAAAAACCATATCCTGGCTTCACATTATTTAATTAAGGGCATAATCAACTCTCATCTTCTGCATGTCAAGGAAACACTGTGGCACTGAGTCATCCCACGACTGACATAAAGGAAATGCCACTCAACCTGAATTATATTTCATTCAAGAGAACCGTATGGAACTGCAATCTCATCTCCCACAGTAATTAATCGATGATTTAAACCGTTTAAAATGCTATCCCGAAGAATACTATTTACATATAAAACTAATACATATTCATAGATCCAATAATACAGGACATCGTCAAAAGGTTTCAGTCGTGAAACATATTCAGAAATCCATTTGTATGTATGCAGTTCGTATTGTGTGCATCATGTATTTTGTCTAATTTAGCATTAAAGTATAAAGCAGCACAAAAAAGACGCAGTAACCATACTGATGGTGTACATTCCAGTTAGCTACAAATGGCAAAAATGGTTGATAGGTAGATACTATTCAACAGGAAATATATACTTCCCATCAAAAGATTAGACTCACTAGTGTAAATATAGCCACTTCCTTCAGGCAACTGTTGTAAAGTTGATTTGCAACATATTCCATACTGCTTAAAGGTAATGTTTACGCATGAACTGATGTATTGCAAAGAACGTTGAAAAGAAAATGTTCATGAGTTCAATAAATGATATACATCAGTGAAAATTGGCGAATTCCTAACAAAACGTTACACCAAAACGCAGCTGATCCTCGTGCAATTCATCTGCATATGGTTTGCATTTGGTTCCCCCAATTTAGTGGAGAAATCAATCTTCGACGTAACCTCATATAATTACATAACATATAGTGAGTGCATTATAGGAAGAGGCTAAACTTTGTGATAGGAAGTATATGTATTTCTGACTTGTACTCTCCCTGTCGCGCTCTGAGCTTATGTGTATATGGGTGGATTATTCCTCTATCATCGGCGTTGACGTTGATGTTGATGATGGAGTTGACGTTGATGTTGATGATGGAGTTGATCGGCTTGTTGATCCTGCGCAAGAAAAACTATTATTGCACATGTTTTACTGTGGAAAGAAATATTATAACCAAGTAATTATCATATAATATTGCTGTAATAAAAGCTGCGTAAAACCATACTCATTCACTCAAACAGATCAAGCTTACAGCATATGGTACTTTTTAAAACGTAATAGACATATTGAATCACTTATCGGTTTGACGTTATAGTCAATCTTGCTGTAATGCGATATATAATAACAGGCTCCTCTGATCATGTCATGTTGCAGAACGCCGCACTCAACAAAATTCCAGTTATATGGCGGCTGTCTGTGAATAAATAGAGTAAGGACCGGACAATCCAGTGATCAACATCATAAGCATCGATCTACGCAACTTGGATACCATGACATGTGTCAACCAAGTCAGTAAACCTGACCACCAAATTCCGTTAGTCGACCCTTACGACCAGAATGGGTTACTGAAGACCAATTATTTTACCCTGGATCTTCATAGGTAATGAACAGTCATTTCATATAGATTCAGCTGTATATTCGAATATACTCAGGCCGGAATTACGGTTAATGTAACATTAAAGGTCCTGGAGGCTTGGAGACACTTACTTGAGCTGTCGTTGCTGATGCATCTGCCGTTTTCTACTCTGAATCCGTTCTGTTGATACACAAAATACACAATTTGAGTGATAGATCACTGACAACAGCAATACATTCATGTCAAATTCAGAACAATTATCAAAGAGTCTGCTAGTCATTCATATCAATTATTGCCCTTGTTTGGGGTTTCATCTCCTCTTCAGTGGGTTAGTTTGGTTTTACTCCGCTTTCAGCACTATTCCACCAATATCACGGCGGGGACACCAGAAATGGTCAGTTAGAAGACCAACATCCAGCTTGCAATTTGTTACCCTGACGACGACCAGTATAATCATCCAGAAATAAATGCTCCATTTATCTGAATTTTTCAAATCCTTTCCGATTCTGTTTAGTTCGACACAAAGTCAGCATCGAATATGAACTTTGGTAGTCTTACACAGAAGAGCATTTTTCTCAGAAACGATATATTGTTATGTACAGGGCGTCTGGTAGCCTTAAGGTTGAAGCGTTCGGTCGTCACGCCGAAGACCCGGGTTTGATTCCCCACATGCGTACAATGTGTGAAGCCCATTTCTGGTGTCCCATGCCGTGATATTGCTGGAATATTACTAAAAGCAGCGTAAAACCATTCTCACTCACTATGAGACTATACTACGTCTGTATATGCTCTGAGGTTATACAACGTCTGTATATGCTCTGAGGTTACACCATGTCTATGTTATCAGGAAGAATGAAAGCGTTAATTTAGAAAGTCTGAATTGACAATTTCTTACCCTAACAATCCAGTTCCTGGAACCGTGATCAACACTGACACACGTGCTGTCATACACCAGAACCATGACATCCTCGCTGTAGATGTTGCCAGTGTTGGCCACGGAGATGTTGTAGGCAGTGACGATACCCCTGGGTGCGTCTACCCTCACAGGACACTCCACTTCACTCAAGCTCCGCTCAATGGCATTTGTAACCTGGGTATTCGGCTGGTGAAGGTCTCCACCATTGCTCACCTACAAGAACGTTTAAAACATGTACATGACGTCCACGCGAACCGTCTCCCTTGGCTAGGACATACATCTTTTTGTGTCATGACGCCAATGACGTTAAAATACAGATTTGGTAACTATAAAACATGTACTTATAGACTTTCATGTGGATAGGACCCGTGAAGATCCGGGTTGGAAGTGATCTTCAGTAACCCATGCTTGTCGTAACAAGCGACTAACGGGATCGGGTGATCAGGCTCGCTGATTTGGTTGACACATGTCATCGGTTCCCAATTGCGCAGATCGATGGTGAAGTTGTTGATCACTGGATTGTCTGTTCCAGACTCGATTAGTTACAGACCGCCGACATATAGCTGGAATATTGCTGAGTGCGGCGTAAAACTAACTCACTCATGTAAGAGGAGACTGACGGGATGGAGAGGTCAGGCTCGCTGACCTGGTTGACACATGTCATCGTGTCCCAGTTGCGTTGTTTGGTGCTCATGCTCCGATCACTGGATTGTCTGGGCCAGGCTGGATGGTTTAAAGACCACCGCCTTATGACTGGAATATTGCTGAGTGCGGCGCTAAAAAACATCCAATCCAATCAGTACAATACATATATTCGGGGTTTTCTAATCGGGACCTGTATGTTACGATCTCTCTCCACTATACCCTGGATGCATCCACAGCTTGGGCGATGATTTTATTACCTCCCTTTGCTGGCTGTTTATCCAGTCAGGTGCCTACGCTGGGAAGTCGAGCGTACCAATCACTACTCACTTTCGCGTCTTAAATTATCTAACCGTTTAAACTTGGCAACACAATTGATGCACAGGTACTCTGAAAGAAGTAGAAGGAGTTCTTTCATATTTTCTTTTTAAAGTTTCAAATCTGTGAATTTGTCTTTATTATTTCCAAAACAATCTGAGTGGCACTGCGAACAAACCTTTGCAACTGCGACCGCAATCTTTGTTGACACTGGCAAGCTCGGTTGTAACGGCGGCTTAGCTGATTGGCTACTGTGCATGAGAATGCGGAGCCAGCCAAGGGAGGGAATAAAATCATCGCACCAAGCCGTGGATGCATCCAGGGTATAGTGGAGAGTGATCGTAACGTATACCCTGGAGATTATCGAGGATGATTATGCAAAGGAAATCAAGATGTGACCCTACCGTGAACATAGTGGATCGACATTTGATTGTCACATCTTCTAAGAAGGTGAGTCCAAATACTGTCAGTCTCTGGCAGCTGCTGGTAGCCAGGTCACAGTGACCGTTGTCTTCGACCTCGTCCAGCTGAGGGGGTTGGGTCAAGTCCACGGAACAGTCAGCACCGCCAAATCCAGCACTGCAGACGCACAGCCCTGAAAAAGAGTTATATTAAATTTAGCCAGCTTCTTTTGATCAGTTCCAGTTTGTATACCCATTTGGTAAGATCAAGATGTAGGTTATGGGAAATAAGTATTTACCAAATTTAATATTGATCACGTTCAGGTATGACTCATGACCCGATGTGTTGCTTGGCCACCATCCACTTTAAATTCCGAATTATATCAGGTTCTAGGTTAATAGTCCTTAATTTAACACTGCTAATACTGATATTGATGCTATGCTTACCCCAATCTACGCAATATTGGCAGGTATTAATCTCTGTATGTCAGTCAAGGTTTCAACTACACTATAATAGTTCTTCACATATGGTGGAGCTACCCTCTCTGGCAGGTGCCTCTCCTGCTACAGTCCTTAGGACAATCCAATCTACGCAATATTTTCAGTTATTAACCTCTGTATGTCATGCGGACGTACATAACTTGTAGTGGGACAATGAATATTGCTCTTGCTTCATGCTTTATAATACTTTTTTGCTGTTTAACGCCATACTCAGCAATATTCCCTCGGCGGACATCTCTGTAAATAATCGAGTCTCGACCAAAATATGCAGTGGTCAACAGCATGAGCATCGGTCTACGCAATTGGGATACGATGACGTGTGTCAACCAAGTCAGCGAGCCTGACCACCCGATCCCGTTAGTCGCCACTTATGACAAGCATGGGTTCCTAAAGACTCGTCTCACCCGGATCGTCACTGGTCTGCAATCATAATAGAATTATATGAAGAATGGACATCTTATTAAATAAATTATAATGTCTCAATGTTAGCTTTGTTAGCTGTCAAGGTTTCAGCCACATTATAACACTGCTTCACATATGGTTGAGCTAACCTCTCTGACAGGTGCCTCTCCTGCTACAGTCGTTAGGACAGACGTTGTTCGTGATGGTGTCAAACACTGAAGGGGCTCCTGGGTTGTTGGGGTCAGCAACCCACAGATCGGGGTTGAGCAGCACCTCAGTCTCACAGGATGAACGAACTGTGTCGATAGACATCATTTGGAATTCGGTTGTTCCAGAGAGCTGCAAGTGTGATAGATATATAGGTAGTTTAATTGTGTTGTCAAATGCCATGTGTTGTTCAAAGGCATTATTTAAAAAAAAATAAAAAAATGTTGTTCTTGAAGGCGAGCACTTCAACGCTTCTCATACAAATGATGATATATCATCGTGGTCGTAATCATTGTCATCATCATCATCACCCAGCACCATCAATATTCACAATGGTTGTCATCCTTTACCATCAATCCACTCTTCCATCCATCCATCTATCCATGTTTGTTCTGTCTTTCTCCCTTCGGGAAAGCATTAAAACCTACCAATATATCGCTAATGCAGTCATCACGGCTGTTGTCAACGTTGACTCCTGGGACGTTGCGGCACAGCTGGACGGTCGAGGACGCCGCGAATAGGTTGTTGCAGAAATCAGCGGCAGTCTGGTTGGTCCAAACTTCCGATGGTGTTTGCTGAAGTATACAGGCGGATTAGAAATTCAAACATGTTTGTAAATTAATGTACATTCATTTACTTTGGTGTACTAGGAATGAATGAATGAATGAATGAATGAATGAATGGACATTACGGCGTGCTCAATGGAGAACGTAAAAACGAAACAAAAATAACTATAATATACCCTTTTGTATCGGTGCTGTGTATCGATGTTAGTGTTCTGTACTGCTCGCTTCTTCCTGTTCAGACGTACGACACAGGGAACGTCCTCGTAATGTTCTGGTTTGACCTCAGTGTTCATCGTGGAAAGAGAGGAACATGTGATGTTCCTTCCTCCTTCACAGAAGCAGTACTTTGGGGGCTGCTGCGATGTCGTTGTAAGTGTTTGTACATAGTCCGGGTTAAAAAGGTCGCCCGTCGTTACTCTGAAAAGTGTAGCATATATCAAAAGTGTATATTCAACATAACATAACTACGTTTGTATATACGCTTACGTTGATACGGTTTTCATACCTTTCATACAAGATTAAAATAGGTTAAATATTATGCTCATAAATGGAACCTCACCTCCAGGAATTGACGAATGTATTGAAGTTGCTGGCCTGCATCTCATTTCTCATGATGAAGTCGTCATTAGTTGTGGCAGAAAGCTGACCACACAACCCACGACTCGCCCCCACGTCTAGGATCGTGCCTGGAATCCTGACATTCAAGTACATGTTCCGGGTTCCAGTTCGATAGAGAGAGACGACAACGCGTGCCCCCGTGGGTAGGTATATCTAATTTAAATAAAAATGCCAAGACAATATGTCAGCGTATTTAATAGCGAAGAGCGATCAAATGTCAATGGCACACAGAATAAATGTTATCAGTCGTGAGTTGATAGTGTACGCACGAAATATGTGTTCGCGCGTGTGTTTTTGTGTCTGTGCATGTGAGCGTGTGCGTGTGCGTGTGTGTGTGTGTGTGTGCGCGTGTGCGCGTATGTGCGTGCATGCGTGCGCGCGCATGTCTTTGTGCGTGTATGTGTCACGCTGTTCGCGTGTACCCATTTTCGACCTCTTTTGATGCGCAATCTTGTGTTTTTGCCTCTACTTTGTCATTGGTTTGCTCAGTACAAATTTTACAAATTATTCTCAGTACACCAAAATGGTATATTCTTGTAGACTACTTCACCCTATATGTACATCATGCTTTACTGTACTGTTCATATTCACATAAAGGTGTTGTTAGTCGTGCTTTTCATTATTATTATACAGTTTTCCACCAGTTTCATGGTACAGATAATTGTCACCCTGACAGTCTGTGTGCTTATATCTGTGTGTGTGTGTGTGTCTGCGCGTGTCTGTGTGTGCGTGTGTGCTAGGTCCGTGCAGGTAGCAAAAGTACTGTAAGTCCACACGGTCCCTAGTATGGTGGTCAACTTCAGTTGCTGAAATTTGAGACACAGATGCTAGTTTTTAGATTGTTTCTGTGATATTCTAGTAGTTTTGACTGTCCTTCGTTGACAGATTTTTATAATTGAAATGTATTTATCATACATTTAAAACTCGTTACAGTCACAATATGGCTGAAATGTGACTTTACTCTTTAACTCTCTCACTCTACACATGCAAAAATAATTATACGTGCCTCATAATATGTGGAGCGCTTTCTTATTTCCATGGCGTTGTCGGAGTTGTCACAGCCCTGATGATTTATTCTCCATGAGTTGGTATCGCAGCCATTAATAGAGAACACCGTCTTTCCTGACTGAACAGCTACCCCACAATTACAGTATCCAGTACGCACACCATGACACCTTCTTACTACGACCTGTATCTGCAAATGCACCATACAATGTTAATGATACAAGCAGGATCTACATATGGGGATATGTACTTGATGGGTCCTGCTGATTAACATGGATACCCTACTCAGACATGCATGGGGATATGTACTTGACGGGTCCTGCAGATTAACATGGATACCCCACTCAGACATGCATGGGGATATGTACTTGATGGGTCCTGCAGTTTAACATGGATACCCCACTCAGACATGCATGGGGATATGTACTTGATGGGTCCTGCAGTTTAACATGGATACCCCACTCAGACATGCATGGGGATATGTACTTGATGGGTCCTGCAGTTTAACATGGATACCCTCCTCAGACAAGCATGGGGATATGTACTTGAAGGGTCCTGTAGCTTAACATGGATACCCCACTCAGACATGCATGGGGATATGTACTTGATGGGTCCTTCTGATTAACATGGATACCCCACTCAGACATGTATGGGGATGTGTACTTGACGGGTGCTGCAGTTTAACATGGATACCCTCCTCAGACATGCATGGGGATATGTACTTCATGGGTCCTGCAGTTTAACATGGATACCCCACTAAGACATGCATGGGGATATGTACTTGATGGGTCCTGCAGTTTAACATGGATACCCAACTCAGACATGCATGGGGATATGTACTTGATGGGTCCTGCGGCTTAACATGGATACCCCACTCAGACATGCATGGGGATATGTACTTGATGGGTCCTGCAGATTAACATGGATACCCCACTCAGACATGCATGGGGATATGTACTTGATGGGTGCTGCAGTTTAACATGGATACCCCATTCAGACATGCATGGGGATATGTACTTGAAGGGTCCTGCAGTTTAACATGGATACCCCACTCAGACATGCATGGGGATATGTACTTGATGGGTCCTTCTGATTAACATGGATACCCCACTCAGACATGCATGGGGATGTGTACTTGATGGGTCCTGCAGATTAACATGGATACCCCACTCAGACATGCATGGGGATATGTACTTGATGGGTCCTGCAGTTTAACATGGATACCCCATTCAGACATGCATGGGGATATGTACTTGAAGGGTCCTGCAGTTTAACATGGATACCCCACTCAGACATGCATGGGGATATGTACTTGATGGGTCCTGCAGTTTAACATGGATACCCCACTCAGACATGCATGGGGATGTGTACTTGATGGGTCCTGCAGATTAACATGGATACCCCACTCAGACAAGCATGGGGATATGTACTTGATACCCCACTCAGACATGCTTGGGAATATGTACTTGATGGGTCCTGCAGATTAACATGGATACCACACTCAGACATGCATGGGGATATGTACTTGATGGGTCCTGCAGTTTAACATGGATACCCCACTCTGACATGCATGGGAACAAGTTATATATTTACCTCAATGAGCTGACGAGCCAGTTTATATAATGTAAATCGTCCCTCCTGTTGTAGTGAACGCCTTGTACTGCAAGAAGTCAATAGTATTTATTCAATTTATGTTTTGCGACCCATTTGCCAAGTTTTAAAAATACAACTGCTTCAGGTATTACAAGTGAATTCAAATCATTTGCAAATGGATATAAAATATGTACAAATAGCCGTTGCCATTTCATATTTCTCTGCATGAGATGACAACTCAAGATTAAGATTGCAAGTCTTAATCAATCTATTACACTTACCGCGGATCAAACTGGTCTAGGTATGGGTCGTTATGGCACCCGCAGCGTTTACTCCTAACCAGAGTCGTGTCTTTCACAACTTTAACCTGAAAGAAAATTACCTTGTAGTTACTCATCAAGAAAATATGAAACTGATCAGGAAAATATGAAACTGATCAGGAAAACATGAAACTGATCAGGAAACATTAAACTGATTAGGAAAACATGAAACTGATCAGGAAAACATGAAACTGATCAGGAAAACATAAAACTGATCAGGAAAACATGAAACTGATCAGGAAACATGAAACTGATCAAGATAACAGTGAGTTACGAGCAATGGGGCAATGGACTACACATATTGTACCCATGTGGGAACAGAACCAAAGACTTCCACCAGACGAGCAAACACTTTAACACTGTGCTACCAAACCACCTCTATGTATATAACAGATAAAACTTAAGTTGTTCCTTCAGTAATCTGACGGTTACAACATTTGTTGTTGGTATCAATCGTATCAGGAAAATTCTGAAAGCTATCGTACCTTTACTGTCCCAATGGTATGGTTGGTCCAAAAGGGGAACCGGAAGCTGGTTTTTGGAGTCCTGAGAACTAGTACCGAATTCAATTGGTTTCTTCCATATGTTGGTGTTATGGTTCCATGTACAGTCATAGACGAAGGCTGACTCCACTGTGTGTAAGGAATGGAAACCTCACAGTCTTCCTGGGAAACCCGATTTGCTGAGTCAACAGATTGTATCTCGATTGGCATGGAACAAATTGCAGGAAAAGAATCAGTGATGTTTCCGCAACGGAACGGCACTGTGGCTCGGACTTGAACCTGTCCCGTCTCGCCTTGTCTGATCGTTATTTCTTCAGTTAGAATCTATGTAAAAGGAAATACATATTCTATATATATTTTATGTAACACATTATCAAACCGGGAATACCTGGTGTCATCACTTATTCCCCATGATGCATGTATAGCAGTAAACATACTACAAACTTCAGCAACCCATGTTTGTCTTAAGAGGCGACTAACAGGATCGGGTGGTCAGACTCAAGAAGTCAAGTCAAGTTGTTTATTTGTATGAAGGCCATTGGCCCATATACACATAGTATATAATACGTTTACATCGAACATGAACTACATACAATGGACATGGGTGCTTTATATATGCTACAGATTTCAAACATATTGTTCTCTTAAGAATAAGCTTTGACAAATATATCTATATAAATTGTTTAATACATCACTACACTTTGAATCCATTAGCTGTCTAAATTTGTGAATATTAACATTGTGGTGATACATATGTGGTTCCAAATACAAAGATAAAATGATACCCATCTTCAATTCCAGTGTTACACAATTGACATAATCGCTGACTTAATTCAATTCCCATCCACCTTCCCTCGTTAACTTTTAATTTTAAAATTCTACATCTAAGTTTTATCAGTATACAGAATTCCATGACTGTAAATAAATGTTAACTGCAACATTCCTTAACATTTGACACAAAGACACAAGTTTTAACCAGTATTTTTTAAATCGACATTGTGCATTTATGTAGAGTGGATAACAGCCACATTCACCGTATACAATGGCATTTGGTGTCTGTGGGCCGACGTTTAAAAACTTTTTAAAGACTCGCTGCTGACTTGATTGACGTGTTATCGTATCACAATTGCATAGAGCGATGTTCATGCTGTTCATCACTGGATTATCTGGTCCAGACTCGAATAATTTCAGATTGTCGTCACACTACTTGAATATTGCTGAGTGCGGCAAACACAAACAAATGGTGGGAGACACGTGTGACGACAGCGTTTTATCTAAACAATACATATCACTCAACAAATCCTTGAAGTAATTACATTGCTTAAAACAATACCTGAGAATAATTTTCGTAAGATCGGACTTCCACACACGTTAAAACATGAATGGAGGAAATGCCACCACCAAACATGTCATTAAGTGGAATCTGGTCAGGATATAGTGTGGAATAAGACCAAGTCGTCTTACCTCAAAGCCGACGAAGAAAGGATCTGCACGATTTCCAGGACCGATGGGCATACCAGCACCGAACAAAGCATGGACTTCACAGCTTATCTACAAGTGGAAATATAGTTCCTGGTATCAGTCACGTCAACAATATTATATGGATGCAGCATGCATGACACAGTTGTACCAAGTGTGTATCTTTGAGAGTGATGGACCGTGACTCGAAAGAGCAAAGCCCCCCCCCCCCCCTCCCCTTCCCAAATAAATAAACTGAAAATAAATACATGCATTAATAACATAAAGAAATAATAACTAACACGCGTACTGTCCTCTTCATGAAATAGGGTATCATTATTAAATAAGAAATATTTGCTATTGTTTCGAACATCTGAAGTTTAAGTAAACCACAGTAGTATTCTATACTGAAAGCCATTAAAAACGCAATTGGTATTTGTTGTCCTGAAACTTACAAAAGTTCCATTGAAGATTTTTTCCTGGGATACAGAGGATGTAGGGATAAAAGGCTGTTATTCTGGCCCATTTCGAGTTCGAGTCCCGGAGCATTCCTCTCACATGAACTTTGATACTTAAAACTGAACCTTTGACATTTCTCGTAAACACAACCACATTCATGAAACACGTTGTGCACATGCATTACATGCACCCAGGCCCTGTAAAAGCACAAGGAATTGTGGAACTCAAGCACTTTGAGAAAATGCCACACTTGACACAAGACGAAAGGAATCAGGTTACACCACGATGATCAGACCACAGACCATCAGAGGCTGCAGACCAGCCAACAGCTGTTCCTGAGAAATGTGTGTCTTTCAATGATTTGATGTCGTTGTTGCGTCACTGATGTTGTTGTTGACTGGACATTTTCAGATGAAATTATTCACAGATGTTCACTTAAAACATATCTGCCAGTTAGGTTTATATATGTTGAATTAGTGTGAGTACAGAAAGTATGAAAGTCAAATTGCCTTTTTAATGGCTTTTAGTATATTAAAAAAACCATCTTTACATCAATTAACAGTTATAGCATATTTTTTCACACAAATAATTCGTTAATTGGTAGTTTTCTGTTTTGTCAACTATACTTTCAACTCGTTTAGACACTGATTCCATATGCTGTGACCTTTGTACATTTGTTATGCTCTTCTGTCTATCTGTATGCTTTTTGTGGACTAACAAATCTTTTCTCAGCAGAGGGAAACTGTAGCGCAAATAGGTTGTGCAACAGAGAGAAAAATAACGACGGCACATCAGATAAATAATCTTCAACAGTTCAATGGTAAAATTAGGCAATATGATATTTCTTTATAATTTCTGCATATTCTTGTTCCGTCACTCCGTTGAACCGGAAGCGGGCATATAGGAAGACTGGTCATTTTTCTCTCTGTTGCGAAGCCCTATTTGCGCCACACTTTGCTTGTGATCTAAGTTATACGTCATGTAAAACTGTGTGCGACTCACGATCTAAGTTATACCTCATGTAAAACTGTGTGCGACTCACATTGAAACCGACTTTAGTTATCCCCGCTGCTATGAGCATCGCTTGAGTGATCTGGGTGTTGTCAATGTAGGTGTCGTCCATCAGCATTGCTGGGTGCTGGTGTATGAGGACGTCGTCGACATACCACGTTGTCTGGTGGAACAGTCTTTGGGTGGACGAAGGGGGGAAGGAACATCGGAAATGGAGGTCACTTTTGTCTAAACCAGTGTCAGTTACACCAGCGGCGACAGTAGGCTTGGGACTGTAGGTTGGTGAATCTGGTATTGAATCATGGAATAAAGTCAAACAATGAACACAAAGTATTATTGTATTTAATACAAGGTGAGGCCACGTTGTATTCACTTAATATATGAACTAGGCAAGGTAACAATACGTTATTTGGTGTGACACTTAGGGATCACTGATTTTCTGCTATGTTTTGTTTGTTGTTTAACGCCCAACACAGCAATATTCCAGCTATATGACGGCGGTCTGTAAATATACGAGTCTGTAAACAATCCAGTGATCAACAGCATGAGCATCGATTTGCGCAAATGGGATACGTTGACATGTGTCAAAGAAGTCAGTGAGCTTGATCACCTGAACCCGCTAGTAGACTCCTACGACAAGCACGTGCTGTCATTGAATCTATTAACGGCACGTACATTGGACCTGAAGGTATATCCTAAACGGTGGTAATATTTGAAACAACGAGTCCCTTAGTTTGCAAGCCTACAACAGTTATTTCCCTTCCAACATTCACTAACAACAATCATGGCGAACTGCTTTGTGGTCCATAACCCGGCAGAAATAGAAAAGAAGTGGACCAAAACGGTTCAAGAAAACACAAAAACATGATACGTTACACGTTGCAAAGCAGTTTGTCAGGTAGCGTTGTTTGGGTACGGTCGGTTTAAATCCGTATTTACAGAGCTCGAAGGCCGAAGGAAATGTGGATTCAAACTGACGGTACCGTCCCATACAACCTGTCAAATAACCGTGTAACTGATAATATACTGAATGAAAAAAATAGGGGGTTAAATAAAAGCCGAAGTGTTCCTTTTTTCCGGGTTTCTTTACTAGGTGTGCGATACAAAGCCCGGGAAGAAACCTGGAACAACATGTGCTTTCATGTGATCCCTTATTTGATTCCCTCAGTATATCATGCCGCGGTTAGACATACAGATCCCTCTGACATACAGAACACTGGCTCCGAGCAGACCAGTCCTTGTTTTAACCCCTAAATATACGCACAAGGCAAGGAAACAACAAGTTTACGCCACTTGGTGTGACTTGGTGATCACTGACTTTCTGTTATGTAGGGTGATGCTTTGTTAACATCACCGTGGAAGCAGGTGGGTGTTACTCAATAGATAGTTAAGAAACAAAACACCAAATACGATCAAAGTATAAGTGAAATATATAGTAAATATATACTTACTTGGGGGGATCTCACCTGTAAATATAATTTATTAAATGTTAATATATAGTAGCATCATTACATCAGTGAGTGAGTGAGTGAGTGAGTGAGAATGGTTTTAGGCCGCTTTTATCAATTTTCCAGCAATATTACCCCCATTATCACGGCTGGGGACACCAGGGTCTTCACACATTGTACCCTCGTGGGGAATAGAACCCGGGTCTTCGGCGTGACGAACGGACGCATTAACCATTACGCTACCTCACCGCCCCTTTAATGAATAAGATCAAATCAAATGACTGAATGTCTGGTTTACCACTTCGGACAGGGTGAAACAGAGTGAAACTGTTCAACGTGTCATAGCCATCCTGTCCCCTACAGACATGATTTCTGGGTCATATTTGACGGAAACACTTTACATTTCGTTTAAATGAGTGAGTGAGTTTAGTTTTACGTCGATTTCATCAATATTGCAGCTACACAATGTATGTCAAGGCGGGGGATACCAGAAATGAACTTCACATACTGTACCCATGTGGAGAATCGAACCAGGGTCGATGCGAACGAGTGAACGCTTCAACAACTACCCTGACGCCCCTCTATTTAAATGACTCGAGAAAAGAGTGAGTGAGTGAATTTAGTGTTACGCCGCACTCAGCAATATTCCAGTCATATGGCGGCGGTCTGTAAATAATCGAGTCTGGACCAAACAATCCAGTGATCAACAGCATGAGCATTGATCTACGCAACTGGGATACGATGACATGTGTCGACCAAGTCAGCGAGTCTGAACACCTTATCCCGTTAGTCGCCTCTCACTGAAGATCAGTTCTAACCCGGATCTTCACGGGTAGTACGAGAAAAGACGTTGAAATGCTTACGGAAACAGTAGGAGCTCTGATGAATGGGCGAGGTTTTCAGATTGTACACAGTATAACCGTTACAGTCCGCTACCTGTATCGTAAACGGATTTGAGCATGTAGTGGATGTTTCCTGGATGCACATGGAAGCTGTGTTGCCAGAAATACCTGCAGAAAAATGTTACTACATTATATAAATTATTTATGGTGTTATTTAAGTCATTATTTACGTTAATTCAATTAATTATCAAAGGGTTTTATCATAAAATAAAAACAGAAATGTGGGTGAAATGAATGAGGAAAAACGTACATTGTTTGTTTGTTTGTGTTCGACGCCGCAACAATATACACGCATGCTCTACGCAGTTGGGATACGATGACAGGTTCATACCCATTATGACTACTCCAAGTTTGACTACCCGTCCAATACACAACCTGTTCCATTAGAGTGTTTTTTAATTACTAGCTCTCTCCCCCTTCATCAGGTAGACTGTTCCACCAACACTTATTAACAATTATAGCTGTACCAGGTTCATACATTATTTATTCAACAAATTACATAGGCCATAGTTGTGGAAGAGTTCAAGTATACACATATACTGAATTATACGATATACCATATACACTACATAGTAAGTGAATTAAGAAGTTATGGTGCTGTATAATATTTTTAACTATGGGCAGCACAAGCGACACAGACTCTGTAACAATGTGATGGGTCCGCCATGGACAGCTCAATGAAACTCAATGGTACTTGAATATGGCTTAAACATAAAACACAGTGGCTTATATAAACGCCGCTCCAGTACATTGTTCCAATAGCTGGATACATAATGGAAATAGTTTGACAACAAAAGAATATTACTGAGTCAAAATAACAGATAAATGATTGAATAATAAATATGTTCGATATAGTGTTGGTTATGCCTAGCAACGAAATGAGCTGCCGCAGAAAATCAAGTTGTATAAAACTCATCTTATATTGAATATATAATTATGTAGAGGTGATAATCACTGGAAGCAGTTACTTTTAGAAATGAACTGGTGTAATGAGTTGAGAATGTGATTATTGTTGAGTTATTCAATGCGCTGTTACCGTATACAGTAGTTGTAACATCGTGTTCTTGAATATAAGAATACACAGCTGTTCTTAAATTTTGATAGTTCCGACATATAAAAAGGTAGGGAATAACGTCTTCGTTATAATGACCACATGAGCACTTAGATGTGTCCGATATATGTCGATTATATCTGTCTGCGTTTGGATCACTACAGCCGAGCTTAAGGCGACAATGGATGATTTGACAAAATCTAGTCCCAAAATTTAAATCAAAGTAATTACGGTTCATGTTGGGTTTATTATGGTTTTAAATTGATTCAGGGAAATAGCGTTAACAGTTGGGGGGACCATGTCCAATTTTCAAAACAAACAACCTGTAGTATAAGTTTACAAAGTTTTAATCCAAATATCAAAACAAACAATGAATGATCACAAGATCCCCGATTCACTTGGCTTCTAATCATTATAGGTTGGCCCTGGGAGTCTCCCTAATAGGTTTATTTCAAAGAGTAGGCAAACTGGGAGTAATCAGCTATACAGGTACAGTACATTATTCAGTGTAGGGGTGCTCCATTATATGTTTATGTTCATGAGTAGTCAAAATGGGAGTAGTCATACTGGGAGTAGACAAACTGGGAGTAGTCATACTGGGAGTAGACAAACTGGGAAGATACCCGATGACATGTGCCAACCAAGTCAGTGAGCATGACCGATCCCGTTAGTCGCCTCTTAAGACAAGCATGGGTTGCTGAAGACCCATTCTAACCCGGATATCTTCACAGGTACAAAGCATACAAAACAGGGAGGCATGCATGACATTATGACAAGAATTATTCAAATGAATGGCGTCACCAGATGATGGATTTCATGATAATTTACAAACCGCCTCTATGTAGCTGGAATATTGCTGGCTGCGGCGTTATACAACAAAGAAACACACACACACACACACACACACACACACACACACACACACACACACACACACACACACACACACACACACACACACACACACACACACACACACACACACACACACACACACACACACACACACACACACACACACACACACACACACACACACACACACACACACAAATGTATATGCTCTTTATACTATTATGATCAATGCTTCTTATACTATGTTCAGTGCTCTTTATACTATGATCATTGTGGGTAAAAGGAACCATTCTTTGTCGCCACTAACATAAGTGTCATTAGAATGTGAAAGGAAGTAACAAAGAATACTTCATGTTACGATCATGGTGTGGGAAAACAGGCGTGATTATAACGTACTTGTTATTTAGTACCACTGACTGACTGAGTTTAGTTTTACGCCGCTTTTAGCAATATTCCAGCAATATCACGGCGGGGGTCACCAGAAATGGGCTTAACACATTGTGCCCATGTGGGGAATCGAACCCGGGTCTTCGGCGTGACGAGCCAACGCTTTGACCACTAGGCTTCCCCACCGCCCTATTAAGTACCAAAGCAACTGAGAAGTGTAGACGCCATCATTTGAACTTTGGATGTTATTAATTTTATCGGAGAGTGCCACGGTTTGTATTAAGCACTTTGTACAAGAGCAAATGCTAATCGCTAGATAACATTATCAATGCTGATGACAGGAAACTTACTTTGTCGCCACATCACAACGTAAAAGCCAGGTTATTAGCAAATTTGCCTTTCCATGAATACAACGTACCTGTTTTAAAATACCTAAAATACCAATTAAGAAGTAAAGGCAACATAAGTGGAATTTAGGAGCCTATTAATTAAATCGGACTGTGCTATCGTTAGAATACCAAATAGGTTCATATGAATAAAGAGTTATAAAAGCGCTTCGCATGGGAAAAGATAAAATACACCTCCCTTTCTACAATGGTTAATGCTCTTATTTTATGATCATTAAGGGTGAAAAACTCCCTTTGTCGGCATATCGGATACAATGATCCACAGTTGAAGCTGAACTGGATCTTTTGAATTTAATCGGAGAGTGCCATGAATTGAATACCCATTACGTTTGACCTTCACATGAATGTTGAGTTCTTAAAGCAGCTCGCACAAGAAAAATGCTAATCGCCATATAACATTATCAATGATGGTTAACAGAAACTTACTTTGTCGCCATATCGGGTACAATGATCCACAGCGGAGGAAGCCAGGGGCACTGTCCTCAAGTTCATAGTTCGCAGCACCGTACCACCCAGCGGCGAGCGTCCTGTCATTGATTGTAGAGCCAGGCTGGGTTGCGGTGTCAGGGTTGCGAATGCTGACGTTCGGGATTTCCATAAAGTCCACACAGGGCCGTACTGACATAAAGGTGAGAGGTTAAAGAAGCGACCTTATTCAACATATAGTTGGAAGCTATTGTGGTAGTACTTGAATCATGTTCAGTTAGACGTTTCATGCAACTTTCAGGATTATTCCTGTGATATTACAACAAACTGTAAACAGCGGAGTCTAGACAACAAAACAAGTCAGGAAAATCATAGTCGACTATGAATCCATTGAATCTCCTCTCAGGACACAGGCAACATGGAGAAACTTCTAACGTGGAACCCCACGCGGGGGATACAGTGTTAGAGAGGTAGGTTTTACAGCGCTTTTAGCAATATTCCAGAAATATCACGGCGGGGGACAACAGACATGGTCTTCACACATAGCACCAATGTGCAGAATCGAACCAGGGTCTTTAGCGTGACGAGCGAACGCTGTAACCATTAGGTTGCCCCACCGCTTCGAGATATAGAAAGATGCCTTTGTACGGATGGAAATTTATAAATAGCGATTATTACTTGTCACTTTTATAATTAAACATATCTCGTAATTACTTAAAATTAAGAGTTTGATGTGTACTTATACCAGTGACCGGTGATTGTAAAAGCCAGTCTGTATAATATGGAATCTTAGAAGGGACATTGTCGCGTTGTCGCATTGTCGCACTGTCGCCCTCTCAAAAAGAAGCAAAATGAGGCTAAAGTAACCAAAGCGCGACAATGCGACAATGCGACAACGCGACAATGTCCCTTCTAGGATTCCATAGTATATTGACAATGAACACGTGTGCCCATATATCGTTCACCTACCAGTTTGGCCATACACCATGTGCAGCAAGGTTGTTGCTATGAGGATGATATTCCATGCCATCATTTCGGTGATTACTGTTCAAAGAGAAATCAAAATGTCAGTCCAAAGAAGAAGTATCATCAGGATAATATTAGTGAGTGAGTTTAGTTTTACGGCACTTTTAGCAACATTCCAGCAACCAGCGGGGGACAACAGAAATGGGCTTCACACATTGCACCCGTGTGGGGAATCGAACCCGATTCATGAAAAGGGCATGCAGAAAGAGTTTTCCAGGTAATGCACATGCAATTTGCAGTAGATATTATGCACAACGAGTGAGTGAGTGAATCTTACGCCGCTTTTAGCAATATTCCAGCAGCATCACGGCGGGAGGACACCACAAATGGGCTTCTTACATTGTGCCCATGTGGGGAATCGAACCTGTTTCTTCGGCGTCTTATTTTGACCGTACGATCCACAAGCATGAGAGAACAGTGCCAATTTCTGCAGCGGAATCCCGACGGGAAACCATAGGTGAGAAGAAAAAAGTTTAAAAACCTGGAAAAGGTGCATAAAGAGATCTAGGGCTTAATGAAAAGTTTGCCTAGTAATACCTTACACCCGTGTTATATAGCTGCAGTAACGACAAACCTTATTGCTACTTATAGATAGACCTCACAATCTTGGTTAAACTGCCCTGGGTAGTGATAACCTACACCCGTGTTATATAGATGCCGTAACGACAAACCTTATTGCTACTTATAGATAGACCTCACAATCTTGGTTAAACTGCCCTGGGTAGTGATAACCTACACCCGTGTTATATAGATGCCGTAACGACAAACCTTATTGCTACTTATAGATAGACCTCACAATCTTGGTTAAACTGCCCTGGGTAGTGATAACCTACACCCGTGTTATATAGATGCCGTAACGACAAACCTTATTGCTACTTATAGATAGACCTCACAATCTTGGTTAAACTGCCCTGGGTAGTGATAACCTACACCCGTGTTATATAGATGCCGTAACGACAAACCTTATTGCTACTTATAGATAGACCTCACAATCGTGGTTAAACTGCCCTGGGTAGTGATAACCTACACCTGTGTTATATAGATGCCGTAACGACAAACCTTATTGCTACTTATAGATAGACCTCACAATCTTGGTTAAACTGCCCTGGGTAGTAATAACCCACACCTGCGATAATAAGATACAACAAACCTTTTTGCTACCTAAAGGTAGACCTCGTAGTCTTGTTTCAACTGTCCTCAACAGTTATAACCCACACCAACGTTCACTGAGATGCAATAATGACGAACTCTATCTGCTGCTGCTAGTAGCCCTCACAGTGTTGGTTGAACTGCCGTTCTGTCAAGACTGATGAAGCCTCTACTTATATGAATCCCAAGGAGGAAGTTCTTTGGAGGTCAAAACATCGTATGATATATACTAATAATAAGCACACCACACGATCGTCACTCGTGACACATGTAAATTACTTTCTTTTTACAATATATAGTGGTCAGACCATGTTATGGGTAGTTACAAGGTAAACATAAACAGACTGGTGAATCTACTTCCTGGTAGAGGAAGCGCCATGAATCTCCTGACTTGGAACCGGAACAATTCCAAGCAATACGAGTTGAATGCTCTGTGTTGTGTAGCTTGCGCTCTGCGTCACGATAGTATTTACGCACACTTGCTCACGCGATGTGGTATATTTAGGTATTATTGTTATTCTGAATGTCAAGCATAATAAATTTATGTTGGTATTGCTCAAGAGAAATTTAAGGTATTGCAACATAATTTTGCAACATAACAGTTGAAAAGCATATACATGTATGCCTCAATTAGGTTACATGGCAATCAAATAGAAACAATGATTACATATTGTATTGGTATTGATTTGAAACTGTGTTTGAATAACCCGATGTTCTTCAGGTGGACATTAAGAATGGCTGTTTCGTTTCTCATGATCTTCAATATGAAGGTTGTGCTGCCAGCTAACCCCAACAATATATTACAGTCTATGGCTTACTATCATTTCTAATAAACTTTAATTTTCATTTGGGGATGTTGGGAAGTGGGGTGGGGTGGTATATAAAATGAATGTTGTAATTATAATACGTCTTTACTTTATTAATACCTTACTTGCAAATTCTACAAAGGTATTAGGGGCCGCAAGTACGAATGACTAGATACCTGAAAGTCAGAGGCGTCACTAGACTAGCTTCTAGTCTCTGAAATGAACATATTTTACAATAAAAAAGGTTCATAAATTTTAATAATAAAATATAATGAAACGGAACCCTGAAACTGTGGTAATCTTCACGGGTGACGAGGACTAGTAAAACCATCCAAACAAAAATTCCCCATTAGGTTGAATTGTTCAAAACCTTTCCGATGCTATTTATCGAATATGAACGTTGGAGGTCATTTTTCTCAGAAACGATACATTGTTATGCACAGGACGGTTGGGTAGTCTAGTCGTTAGAGCGTTCGCTCGTCACGCCGAAAACCCCACATGGGTACAATGTGGGAAGTTTATTTCTGGAAGTGATCACACGCGGTACGTTTAAAGGATCGGGGGTGGCGGGTGGGGTGTGTGTGTGGTGTGTGGTGTGTGGTGTGTGTGTGGTGTGTGTGTGTGTGTGTGTGTGTGTGTGTGTGTGTGTGTGTGTGTGAATGCAAAATGCAAAACATCAACTTGAGTGTAGTCTTTAGTCATTTTCAAAACCGTGAAACCCCGTTGGATGCGCCAATGTTTGTTATTAAATCTCAAAAACTTATTCCAGTGTTGACATCACCAGCGTCTTACAAATCGAAACACCCGTGAAGATCCGGGTTAGTATAAGTCTTCAGCAACCCATTCTTGTCGGTAATGACGATGGGATCAGGTGGTCAGACTCGCTGACTTGGTTGACACCTAGTTGCATAGACCGATGCTCATGTTCATGATCACTGGATTGTCTGGTCCAGACTGGAATATTTACATACCGCCGTCATATAGCTGGAATGTTGATGGGTGCGGCGTTAAACAACATCCAATCCAATCAGTACAATACATGTATTCGGGGTTTTCTAATCGGGACCTGTATCACTTCAGCAGGAGCGAATTGATACACAACTGAATATTATTTCAGTTTACTTACTTCAGCTTACGTGGTTAATAATCTGATCTCAGATGTTACAGTCGCAACTGTCACAAGACTGGTGACCAAGATCTCAAAAAGTGCTCCACTTGTGATAGTCTAAGGATATTTCTATCATTCAGTGATACAACATATTTCAACAGAAACAGGATCTTGTCTTGTCAGACCCATGGACGTAAATATTTGAGGTGGGCCGTTTGTACTGGCAGTGACGGTTGATAAGGCAGGAAGTCATTTTGAGTCTCTACATGTTAATGTCTTGTGGGGGTTTGCCTTGCGAGTGTCGACCCGTGAAGATCCGGGTTAGAACTGATCTTCAGCAACCCACCCTTGTCGTAAAAAGGCGACTAACTGGATCGGGTGGTCAGGCTCGCTGACTTGGTTTACACATGTCATCGTATCCCAATTGCGTTGTTCGATGCTCATGCTGTTCATCACTGGTCCAGACTCGATTATTTACAGACCTCCGCCACACACGACACCACTTCACACACCACACCACCACTTCACACACCACACAGACGGCACCATTTCACATACCACCACTTCACACACACCACACCACACACACAATATTTCACACACCACAGCAATTCAAACCACACACACAACACCACTTCACACACACCACACCACACACAATATTTCACACACCACACACCTATTCACACACCACACAGACGGCACCACCACTTCACACACCACACACATAACACCGCTTCACACCCCACCCCACACACAGGACACATTTCACACCCCACACCACACACAAGACACCCTTCACACACCACACCACTTCACAACCCACACACATGACACCACTTCACACACCACACACACTACCACGTCACACACCACCCCACGCACATTACACCACTTCACACACCACACCACACACACGACACCACAACACTTCACACACCACATCACGTCACACACCACACACTTCACACATGACACCACTTCACACACAACACCGCACACACGACACCACTTCACACCGCCACACACAACATACACACAAATGACCGCAACACACACGACACCACTTCACATACCATACCACATACGACACACCACTTCACACTACTACACCACACACATGACACCACAGCACACAACACAAGTAATATCCCCTAAAATTGAGAAAAACCTTACACTAAACCCCGTCAATCCGAACAATCGTGATTCCAGTAAAATTGTCAGGATTCACAAATTCACAAATGGTCGGCGTATTTACTTCTCAAAATAATATGACGGAATAAGACAGGTAACTGAATCTGTATACCCTTTTGACCATACTAATAAACACATAGCGCTTTTAGATTGTGTAGGTACATTGTGTGCCGTACCCTGGCATGTCGCTGGTGTGACGACTGACGCTGGATGCAAATAGTTCGGTGAACACAACAGCGTTGGTAAGTTTGTGTAAATATTATAAATCTACTATATTATAATCCAATATTACAAAAAGATGGCAGTGTTTTTCATTGTGAAACAATGTTCTAGATGTAATAGACCCGTGAAGGTCCGGGTTTGAATTGGCCTCCAGTAACCCATGCTTGTTAACGGGATCGCTGGCTTGGTTGACACATGTCATCGGTTCGCCATTGCGCAGATCGATGCTCCTGCTGTTGATCACTGGATTGTCTGGTCCAGACTCGATTGTTTACAGACCGCCGACAAAAAGCTGGAATATTGCTGAGTGCGATGTAAAACTAAATTCACTCACTAACTCTAACTGTACTACATTATACATGTAGATTCAGTGCAGATCAGTGAAGTGCTATATTTAGACGTGTACTAGATTCAATCAGAAAGATCTGGAAGTACTACAGGGTGCTCTCTTTAGGGTCTACTGCCAAACGATAAATTTCTCGACGATTTTATAAAGAGGAACTGGCTATTGCCTCTCATCACAAATGGCATCTCAAGTAACCAGAAGACAAGTATTGTGTGTGACGATTTTTTACACCCTGCCTGGGCTATTTTAGCAATTGTCAATCACATCGCATTTCTTTGTTGTCAGTTGGTTTCACACCTAGTTCTTTAACGACAGATTCCCGGTTAGCCTTACTTTCAACTTGGGAATCAACACGTAAAATACACACTTTTACTCAAGTACACAAATCAAACAGACACAGTCTGAATATTCATGTAAAGTTCACGCTTGCATCAAGGCACCTGTGTCGGGTGAAAGTCAGAAGCAAGACACTGGTTCCTGTCACTTCTGGTCAATGTCGAACTGGATGTTCTTTTGTTTCTGCCTGGCCAGCGGCGGAGAGGTGTAGCATGCCGGTTAAAGCGTTCGCTCGTACCTGGTTCGAATCCCCACATGGGCACAATGTATGAAGCCTATTTCTGCTCTCCGCAATCGTAATATTGCTGGAATATTGCCAAAAGCAGTTTAATTACTCACTCATAATATTAATCACTGAACTGTCAAGTCTCGACAATATACAGGTTACTGTCATTAATATATTAAAAAAGTAGAGGATATTCCATTTTCAGGTGACATTGTTTTGTAATTTGTATATAGATTTTGAAAACGTTTATTCCATTCACAGCGTAATATTTATTTCGTGCAAACACATCAATTTCGTATTTAACGATCTGCACGAGAACTTGATAGGAGTGAAATTGGAAATTTCAGGGTGTTGCGGTACACTTGGTATCGTGTAATCAATCAAGTTTATTTCGTAACAAGGCCTTAGGCCCACGTACAATACAAATAAGCATGTGTAATTATAAGATAGTTGCATTTGACTATCAGGTTTATGTGTATAAAGAACGCAATGACAATGCTTTCTTAATGTAAGAAGAACAATTTGTTAGTGTTGAAAACTTTGTACAGGATAATGCGTTTAGAAAGTATTGCTGATCTATGTAATTTGGTAATGCTTTAAAATACTTATAGCGCAAATCATGATAAATTTTACATTCAAATAGGAAATGAAATTCATTTTCTACAAAATTATCATTACAAATATTACATAGTCTTTAGTGCCTCGGAACTCCATCAAATCTACCGGTATTTTTATATATTGGAAGTGCACCGATTCGTAACATTGTTATTCGACGCCTCGCATCTTTAGATTTCAATAAAGTTAAATATGGCTCAATGCAAAATACACTTTTGATACTGGAATAGACATCAAGCGATGAACATTTGTGCATTTCTGAAAATATGAATTGCTTCTGACAATCCCCAACTCTTACATGAAAATCTTTCAAAAATTGTTCCTCGTTGCCAACTCCTTGAGCTTCCCACACAAAACCAAAACCATAATTGAACAAAGTATTTCGGACAAAATATACCCCCGTTTTCCTACCAACTTTGTCTAAATTGTGCAACATAATATAGCACTGCTTTGGATTTCTATCCTTTGGTAAGCGTAAAAGTTTGAACCAATCGTGTATCGTGTTGGTCTGAGCGAATCATTATATTCCAATAGTCAGATAACAGGAGGTGAATTTCCGTGCAATCATTCCCAGTCCTATGTATAAGACGCGTGACGAAGTGACGTGTGCAACTAGTGGGCGGACACCCCAGTGAAGCCAGCTGTGTTTTCACTGAAGCATTCCCGTCACAAACTGGGTCACCTTCTCAACACAGATCTTTTTAACTATCGTCACATTTGGCTCATTGCCCATTCTGTTCTTCCAGTCAACGACCATTTGGCCTCTTGTCAGTTGTCCGTGTAGCTCTACAGTTGCATGAACAGTCTCCTTGTCCAGTATGCTTTCCCTGTCCAGCACCGTTGTCATGGCAAAGAGGTCACATGACCGGAAACCAGGTTGTTGTCTGACCTTGATATTCTCAATCCAATGTTGGGTGATTTTCTTCAGGAAATTCGCTTTCGGAGTCCCCAGGGCGATCCATTTGTCATAGACAGCCTACAATTAAGTGAGGAAATTAATTCAAAACATATTTTATATATCAGAGATTAAGTAAGCGTTAGAAAATTATCGTTATGATTTGACTGCGTTATGTTTTCTCTCTGAAACATTTTCGGAAAACTATTGAATTTGATATTGATAATACAGTCAGTAACATTCCAGCGTTATCACGATAACATCGTTATCAGTGGGAAATAACACAAGAAACGACCCATCCATCACACGGTTATAAATAATAATAATAAATGTGAATTTATAATGCGCCTTTTCCATGTACAAGGCACATGCTACACAATCTGATTATTATTACCCCAGATAACCCAAGCCGCCTGCTTGCCGCTAGGATGTTAACAGTCACATGACTTATCCCACAGGGTACCCATTTTCGGCTGGGTGATAATAGGCAATTTTGAACAAACTCACTTGCCTAAGATGAGACTACATGTATCACATGTGCTTCACATGTGCTTCGCTGCGGGGCAAGACTGAAGTCCTAGAAACTCTCAAGCTGCCCAAAACGGTCACCCATCCAAGGATTCTATGCGCTTAACTTCAACTGATGTATGACCTGAGCTCTATGCACAGGACCACACACCACTACAAAGCTCGAGCTTCATTCGTCGGCTCTAACATAGGATAGTGTGTCAAGTTAGTCCCGAAAACTAACGGAACTTACATTATAGTAGTCCTTACGGTTTGTAACTAGTTTGGACGAGGCAAAATGTTTATCTATTCAGCAAAACTGAAGCAAAGAGAGCAAGTTAAAGACATTAAATTGTGATTGCCGACGATTACCAACTTAACTGACTTTCTACACTTTTCTCGTCCACAGCACAATTTAGTAGTCTCGGACTTACGGACTAGCGGGAATTTCGAAGGTCAATTAAAATGTCAGAACGACTGCGATAAGCTACAATCAGCGAATCCAGGCAAGGCTAAGGGGAAGCAACTCGGTTAGACCACTATCTGTAACGCCTGCACTATGTATGTAGAGGGTAATGTCCGAGTAACTCTCCATTCCTTTAAAATAATGGAGCCGAGGCCCCGGAGGGGCCGAGGCACATTATTTTTTAAGGAATGGAGAGTTACGAGGATATTACCCTACTTAAATTACATTCAAAGTATTGGGAATATTTCTGTTATCAAAAATAAATGTCAAAATGACAAAATGAAGGTTTGATTTTGAAACTGGTACACATCGCTCCATTCCTGAAAATTAATGGAGCGAACAGACAATGGAATGACGTCACAAATGTAATTTAAGTGCAGATCCTGTGAAGATAATTCTGACCTTTACGGTGCACACGGTTATTTCAAACTTCCCTCTGAAACCATTAAGGTTGCTTGTGTTCCTACCCATGGTATTTGCCTCTGTGTATCCAAGCACGACTCCCACGGAATGATAGTCAGTGGTGCCTTAAACGCGCTCAGGCAAATGTATGCGGCTTCAGGGTCGACATAAAAGTTGAACTCAGATGAAACAGTGACATTGCCACGAGCTGAAAAATACAAAGCAGTTTGGAAGTACCTAATAGTTCACTTTTTTCCTGTTAGGGATTAACAGAAAAGGTTTTAAGTGACAGGCAGTCATCCTTCGCCATATTATCGGGGGAACAGATTGATGCTTAATCAGGGTTAAAATATTCTGGAAGTCGTTCAACAAAGTTGCGTCCTTAGCCTTGCATGATCCGCTGGTCACAGGTCCCAATTCAGAATCGCAAAGATTGTTTTCATCAAACGTAAACGTTCAGACCTACACAAATTTGAGCTAGCTTCTCAGTCAAGTCTAAAAGTGGCAATATAGCCAAAAGCTGCCCATGGCGGCGCTTGACCAAGCTCCCTTCATCGCTTCATAGTGATGGCATGATCAAAGACCGGAACGTTCACTATTACAAGAGAACGTTCATATATGGTTATTTAAAACCAAACTAATTTATTCTGGAAACAACGAAACGTACATGACAATCAGACGGAGATTTGGCAGTCTGTAGATAAAGGTTCAAGCCTCGGTTTGTGACATGCGACATGAGACCCTGACATCTCTACTGTGACCTTGACATCTCTACTCTGACCTTGAGTGATTGAGTATGGTTTTATGCCGCTTTTATAAATATTCCAGCAATATCACGGCGGGGAACAAACAGAAAAGCACTTGACACAATGTACTCATGTCGGGAATAGAACCCGGTCTACGGCGTGACAAGCGAACGCTTTAACCACTAGGTTACCCCACCGCCCCCTGCTTACATAATATCCCACATAAGACTACGGTTATAGGAATTCAAATGGACCAGTGATTCAGTTCGTTATATCCGTAGTTCGTGATACGCATTTCCACTAAAATAAACAGTAAGTGGCACGACAAAAAACAACAATAGTTCCTTATATCAGTCAGTTCGTTATATCAGTAAGTTCGTCATATCAGTCAGTTCGTTATATAAGTCAGTTCGTCATATCCGTCAGTTGGTTATATCCGTCAGTTCGTCATATCCGTCAGTTGGTTATATCCGTCAGTTCGTCATATCCGTCAGTTCGTCATATCCGTCAGTTGGTTATATCCTTCAGTTCGTCATATCCGTCAGTTCGTTATATCAGTCAGTTCGTTATATCAGTCAGTTCGTCATATCCGACAGTTGGTTATATCCGTCAGTTCGTCATATCCGTCAGTTCGTCATATCCGTCAGTTCGTTATAAGCGGGTTCTGTATAAACGCAGTTTACTGTATGTCGTATTAGGCAGCGGAGGTGTGGTAATTCAACAGCCGGTGACTTGGGCATTAGTCGATGGGATTGAAGGCCAAACATATCACAACTATAAAGAACCTACCCAAGGGATGTTTGTATCCAGGCAAACCTCATAGGGGAGTATCGATATATTCTTCAACTCTCTCAAAGAAATATAGGCTGCCTCGCAGTCACAGTAAAAGTTGTGCTCAGCTGAGGTGCTCAGTCTGCCCTTACCTAAAACATAACAACACATTTTTCCAAGATATTTTATGGATTAAACTTCTTATAATTTCTCTCACAACGTTTCGAGACCATTCCAGGTCCCTTCATCAGGTGAACTGGCAGAAAATTATTGAGAGAAATTGGTGAGAGAAATTATATAGAAGTTTAATCCATAAAATATCTTGGACATCACTGTACAACTTCTAAATGCCACTGAAAGACAACACATTTTTCGTATCAATATTCATGATGCATGCACTGTCGTGACAATAACGTGATTTTAATTATTATTTTTTTATGTCAGTAAATTGGAGTTCAAACCATGTAGTCAGAACTGGCAGGTACATCAAAACTGGAACCAAAACCATCAAAATACAGCCTTAATTGGCTGATCAAACTAGTGGTCACGAGACATGTTTTTTTCTTTATTTTTCGTAACAAACAATTTCAATCTACCCTCAGATATACAAAATATCGTAAAACATATTTGACCTCAAGCATTGCTGTTTATGTTTTTGAGTTTCACTTTTTTGTTGGTATATTTGTCATTTTGTGCGGGAGGCACACACTCGAGTCCTCACCTTCAGTATTTCCTCCCATAATGAACACCTCCTTCAGTTTCTTCCCAAGATCCGGATCCAGGCGCAACGCAAGAGCGATATTCGTCAGAGGCCCCAGAGGAATGAGAGTTATCTCCCCTTTGACGAAAAGGTATTTCATTATTTACTGAATCAACTTATGAATCAAAGTAAACAAAATTATGAAATGAACTGAAATGAAATAATAACAGCTCTCTTTGTATTAAGACAGTTTGCGGGGTTTTCATTCTTAAAAAGTAACTGGGTTGTGGTCGAACTAGACTGACTGAGTTTTGTTTTACGCCTCTTTTAGCAATATTCGAGCAACATCACGGCGGGGGACGGTCGAACTAGAGATAAAATTAGAACCAGATTATTTAGTTTGCCAATGTAAGCACATACGTAGGGACGTTGGCATAAGAAAATATATGCAAATATTTCCCGTATCGTTTTTTTTTGCGGGAAGAAAAGACATAGAAGTTATGATAATCATTTCGACATAATAATCAGAGAATACTAGTAATATTGTAACAAACAAATAACACAAAAGCAAAACCCCCACCCCCACCCCCGCCAAAAAAAAATACAAATAAATAAATAAATAAATAAATAAATAAAATTATAAAAAAATGTTAACTTAAAGTGAAATGAATTCAGGGCCCTGCACCTTCATTAGATGAAGCTTGGTGTCAAATATGAAAAAAAATCCAGTGAATGGTTTTTGCGATATCTTGCTGACTATGTTAACCAAAATCGGACGTCACCAAAATCAACTGGACCTTGCACTTTCCTTAGATGAAGCTTGGTGTCAAATATGAAGAAAGTCCAGTAAATGGTTCTTGAGATATGTCGCTGACCATCTCAGTCTAAGTAAACTTAGGCTCAGTATTATTCGTTACACTGCTTATAGCAGTGTAACGAATAATATTGAGCCTAAGTTTTCTTAGACTGCTGACCATCTTAACATGCAGGTTAACATTCTGAAATCTATAAAGTGTCGCTGTGACCTTGAAAATCAAGTGAAGGTCACCAACATCAACTGGGCCCTGCGCCTTCCCGAGATAAAGCTTGATGGCAAATATGAAGAAAATCCAGTGAATGGTTCTTGAGGTATCTCGCTGACAAGCATAACATGCAGGTTAATATGCTGAAATCTTCAAAGTGTCGCTATGACCTTGAACGTTATGTGAAGGTCACTGGGCCCCGCGCCTTTCCTAGATAAAGCTTGGTGTTGAATATGAAGAAAATCTAGTGAACGGTTCTTGAGATATCTCGCTGACAAGAGTACAACGTTAATGTCCCCTTGTGACCTTGAAATGAACGTCAAGGTCACCAAACCTTTCTTAAACTGTGATTAACCTAGGTACCAAATATGAAAAGAATCTAGTCAACGGATCTTAAGATATTCCAATTCGTACGGACGTACGGACGGACGGACGGACGGAGCCTCATACTATATCCCCGCTTCGCGCTAAACGCGCGGCGGGGGATAAAAAAAACCTAAGTATATTGATATATTAATCAGAAAATAGTGTTTTAACAGACAATTAAGGTTCACTGAGGAATTCGCAGTAAGTCTCAGAAAGATGACAGTGTAGATATAATTCTTCTTCATTAGCGTGATTATCTGACTGGGAGTCAGTAAATAAAATAAAAACACGAACAACCTGGAAATTAAAAATGCTTACCTGGATGTTTGTTGATGAGTCTGAGTATAGCCATGACAGCATGCTCTGACTGAAGGTCTGCGATGTCAACCGACTCGGACCACGTGGCGTCACCCAGGCCGTCCACACCGTGGAAGTGAGACGCATCCTTTTCGTTGTCTAGGATGGGTCGATCTGCTCCTCGGTACACAGGGATCTGGGTCACAGGGGGAAGAGAGTCAGTGAGGGGTGAGGTTGCATATGACATAAAAATATATAATTTAAATATTATTACTTCCATAAAAAAAAAAAATTTGACCACTGAAACCGTTCACGCATGTTTCAAAATTGGTAAATATTATCAAATTTAAATAGATTAGATTACTTAACTAGGTCATTAATTTCAGGTTCTTTTATCCTTGAGAAAAAATCTGTAAGTTTAGGTGTTTATATTTTTGTCCATGTTTTTTTTTAAAAGCTCTGGGGCTCCTTTCACGAAGCAACCTTTACTAAGGTTAACCTTAACTCCCATTCTTTAACATTGCACTAAGGTCACCTTAAAGACTTACGATCACCTTAGTGTTTTGTGAAAGGAGTCCCTGGTTTGACGTAATGGTCGTTTGTTTACTGATCGAAGATGTCATGGTCCAGTTGTGATTTGCGTTGTTGGACGCAGAAAATGTCACTGTTTAAGGACCCACATCTTTCCTCCCAGAAAAGTTGAGTCCAGCGGAATCCAGTTTTTTGCAATATCTCAGTCTCATATATTTTTTCCTCATTTGCGAGAATAGCATGTCCGGACAGAAGTTTCGAAATGTTGATATGGATATTATCAGATATATTCAAATGGGTCATAACAACAAAATACTTACACATACAAAGTCTGGTCTTGATGTGACTAAAGTCATAAAATTGATAAAACATGGGGAAAGGGTCATACCTGTAGCCCGTTCGTCGCCAAATGCGAATGATGAATTGCAAAATAACTCAAAATCTTGAATGGATTATTAAATGCCAGTTTTGTTAATCACAATGAATACCCTCTACTCAACAATATTTCCTGTCTGTTACTTTCATACCTATCACTGGAAAAAGTTGGAAAACTATTATGTTATTATGTGTACAAGTTGACATGTTTAACGGAGGGGGTACAACCGTAGACGGAACAGCGTAACCAACGAGTTACACCATTCGCCATCACTCGGCCCTTTCCGTGATGTCCAAAGACAATCGTCCCGTAACCGATGAATATTTGTGCGAAAATACGACAAACCAATCAGAACGCACGTAAGGATTGAGGTACTTTGATGAAAATAATCGCGAGTACTTATGTCGGTTTCGGCAGTATGTGATTATTTAAGAAAGCATAAATCATTTTAGCCATTTTGATATTACAAAGAACATAGCAAACAGAATAGTATGGACTAAGTTGAAGTTTTAATAACTCAAGGAAAATGCCATGAGCGGTGAGAGATTCAAATACATGAATGTGAGTTTGTTTACATAACAGCTCTTATGGCAGCATTTTTATAATTATTATTATTTTATTTTGCTTTCTTTTTCTTTTTGGGGGTTTATCGCCCGACCGGCCCTTCTAATTTATTGCAGGACAACCCCCACCCCCATACTATTCATAAAAAAAACCCAAATTCTTTGGTCATTCCAACACCGCCGACTCGAGCCTAAAACGTACCGCCTCGTCATATAAAATGTTGTAATCAATCAAGTCCAAAGAACGCCAGAAATTGTAATAAGAATTACAATAAATGAGAATGAAGAACATTATTCGGATATAATTTTGTCTTTATTAAGTTTTTTTAATTTTTTAGATTCCCCACCCAACCACCCATATTCAGAATTTGGTGGCTACGTAAAAACACTAAAAATCAAAATTGTGCCCTTATAGGTCCAACTGAGTGCTTTCTGTGACGATATTGCCAGCTTGCTTTGCAGATTTTACGTGCGTTTGACGACATTTTTGGAGTAATGTAACAGACGATCTTTTTATTCCGATAGGCGATAACTCTCCTTTGAATACACAATGCCATTTAGAAAGTGGTCAAATGTAACATATGTTATGCTTGGGATTACACGTTGTCAGTAAAGTACGAGTCAGGCACCTAATCGCCAGCACAGAAAGCAAGCCAACTAGCCCTCTCACCTACCGGAAATCTATGTGGAAGCCGCGGTGGGCAGTGATTGTTAGTTTAGAAAACAACATCGTTTGTTTAATCTCCAAGTGTAACACAAGATGACGGGGAAAACGCCATGAAATACCGTTATATTGTCACCGCGTGTCCTACGTCGGAACACGAGGCAGTGTTAGCCCCTATTATCGCATCGATGAAATATTGAAACCTCACTTGATATGTCAGCCCACGTGTTATTTCCAACGACAATTCCTTAGCTGTTGCTATTGCTGCATTCAAATCTAACAAATAGTTCTCATACTACCACTGACCTCAATGTAATAAATTCGGAGATATGTCTACATCTGCAGCCAACGGACATCCTCTGACAAGCGTTTATCGCCAATATACATCCGTGACTTAACTTATAATTGAAGAAATACAGTGCAGAATTTAACAGTTAGTCCTACATATAAATTAACGTTTTGATGAGCAGTTCCTCACGCATCGATTTCATTTTGTTTTAAAAATGTTGACACTATATTTTCAAAGTATACGTAATGTATATCTATCATCCAAGGACCGCCTCCGTGGTGTAGTGGTTTGAGCGTCCGCCCGGAGAGCACTATAAAACAAGCTTCAGTCTGGGCTAGTACAAGCAGCCGCACATACACATAAACACGTCGTCATATGAGCGAAATATTCCCAAGCACGACGTTAAACCCAATTTCACCTCACCTCACCTATCATCCAAGCAGTTAGTCGGTTGCAGCAGAGATGCCAGTCATCATAGATTGAAATAAACGTTTTACCCATAATATTTTATCCCTCATTAAATGTGTCCATGAGCCACCTTTTTACCTCATCAAACTGTTTATAAATTGCACTCTTAATCTCACAGCCTAACACGGGCGTGGCCATTTTGAATGCCAGTGAGCAACACAGGAAAGCCGTTTTGGATGATAACCTAGTTTTGGGGGTTACTTTATGCAGGGAGACTATATAAGTTGTTGAGTATTCCTGCTTTATGGCACACTCTCGCGCAGTGATGACTTAGCATAACATCAGTGCCACAGGCTAATTTGCATATCACGTGACCGGACTTTTCTCTTGTTTGTAAACAAACGGGCATATTCATAATAAGAAGAGACTGGCCTTACGCAAGCTTTTCGGCGCGCTCTTCACATATATATTACATATATATTCTTCCACAACTGCGACAGTAAGGTTTATGACAGTTCATATTTATATATCAAACTGGCTGCATCTTTTGCTCTCTGTCGGCTTCGATGACAGCACGTGGAGCCGTACAACGTATGTAAACACCTTAAGGATCGCTACGCAGATCGAAATAGTGTTACACGTTTTAGGATATTTTCTCAGTGAAACAAAACCATTCTATCAAAGATGTTTAATTAGATGTGTAGACTCGTCACAAATAAAAGAGTTAAGAAATATGTACATTATATTGAATGGACGGTGCAAGATGTGACGAATCGTCACATCTTTCTGGCCTGTGGCAGAGGTACTATGCTGGCTGGCCGCATGGAACTCTGGGTAGGAGAGTGACTTTATGGGTCCGGGACAAATGAAGCTGAACTCTTGCAGTCATGGCAGTGTTCAGGATATCCAGCACTCAAGTTAGACTAACCCTTAGTCACTGAATATATATAGTTTTGATGGTAACAAATAATCCCATTTACATTGAAAATCAGCCTCAGTAAGATGGGAGATTTAGAGGAAATCTAGACTTGCTTCATTAAGGGCTTTTAGCATTGCAGAAAGGGCTGGGTAGAAGGGAAAATAATGTTTGACGTCGTTCCGATGTTCATACGTCAGCACGCGTCGATACTGGGGCATGTACCGGAATAATACGAATGGGTCTCCGAGGTTGGTTGGTTGGTTGTTGTTTAACGCCACACTCAGCAATATTCCAGCTATATGGCGGCGGTCTGGAAATAATCGAGGCTGGACTAGACAATCCAGTGATCAACAACATGAGCATCGATCTACGCGATTCGATGACACGTGTCAAAAAAGTCAGCGAGCCTGATCCGATCCCGTTAGTCGCCTCTTACGATAAGCATGGATTACTGAAGATCAATTCTAACCCGGGATCTTCACAGGTTGATTATCAAGGGAACTATTTTGATAAAACTACATAAGAACTAAGGATATTTAATCGCATTCTAAAGCCACACAGTTTCGACAAAGTGTGTGTTCGACAGAAGCACGACAATAACTCTGTAGATTACAATCAGAAAAGTAGTCCGTCATAATTTGACCTTAGGTCATCACCATGGAGTAGCCAATCACGGAACTGTAATTCAATCTCACACATATGTTTGATACCAGTAATATCACATGGGTTTCTCACATAAGGGCGGTGGGGTAGCCTGGTGGATAAAGAGTTCGCTCGTCACACCGAAGACCGGGTTCGATTCCCCAGTTGGGTACAATGTGTGAAGCCCATTTCGGGTGTCCCCCGCCCTGATATTGCTGGAATATTGTATAAAGCGGCATAAAACTGCGTAAAGCTAATCTCACTCACTCACTCACACATAGATGTGTATAAGATATGAAATACTCACATTCTCCTTGCCACATGCCTTGAGGACTCTGAGCGTATTGACGCACACTTTGTCCAGGGCAATATTTCCCCGGACACACGTGATCGCTAACACCTCGACATCAGCCCGCGACAGCAGCAGCATCAACGCCGTGGCGTCGTCAATACCGGTGTCTACGTCCACAATCACCTTCATATTCCTTCTGTTGAAGACGCGCTGAAGTTCGACCTGAGAAACGTGGTCTAAATATAGTGTTGGATATCGTGGACCGTAAGTACAGAAAATGAATGCAATGAAGACCAACATCTTGGATAAAGGTACAAGAATCTGTACCTATCGAAACGTCGCTTTCACTAAATAAACACGTTGTTACCCACAAAGTTGTCTATATTGTACTTCCAAACTTCTAAAATGCGATAAATTAATGTACAAATTTTAATGAGGTGAAGTGGGGGTTAACATCGTGTTGAAAATTGCTGACTTAGTGACTCCAAGCCGAACAGGCCGTATGTTATCTCCTTGGACCAGCCAAGGCAACAACAAATAGCTGTTAAAATTATTTGATGTGGACGGAGGGAGATCAAACCTCAGTTGACCTCGTCACGGAAATGACAATTATCATATTGATATACAATATATTACATGTGATACAGTGTGATTGCACATGATATATTGCATTTACTGCATATATCATAGGATTAGGAATAAAAGGTTACTTACATATTGTGTCATGTTGATTTTGTTTTGTTTTGGTTTTTTGTTGTTGTTTTTAGGCAGTTACAACACAACAACGCACATAAAATAGATAACTACTATTACAAAAATAAGACAAAATTTCGACCATCCTGCTGACAGATATTGGAATCGAACGTGAAATTAGAAATCACACTAAGCAAGTTGTCAGAAAGCATACCCTCAGAGTGACCTCCCTTAGCTCCTTGTCCGGAACCACGTTTGAATGTAAATCAGTGGAAGTGGCCTTTAGTTTCTGTTCTGCATTCAGACCTTTACTGTTGCAACTTCTTATCAGTCGTATATTTTGATAAGATATGGCTTGTACAGGCCATGCTCTCCAGAACTAAACCAGCATAGGAAACATACATATTAATATTATCACAAGCGGTCACGTGTTCGCGGGACTGAACAGGCTTATCGTGCATCGTGTGGCGAATATCTAGATTCGCTACACTAGATAGCCTATCGCAAGGTGCATAGACTACTGTCTACAGCGCAGTGATTGTCGATATACTGTGTGCTATCCGTAGTTTCGCGTTGGTGTTACATAATACACGAGGGCACTTACCTGCTAACAGATGACCGAGCCAAACAGAACACTGGCTGGGCTTCGAAGTCGCTATATCGTGCAGGTCAAAGGTCACGCGTCTAGGTTGTGAGCTTGCACGTTTGAAAACGACGTGACCTGGTGAACAACGGCTTTATTAATATGCAAGTCATGTTTCATATATAGTGCGACTCATATATATATATATATATACTTATCTTCACATTGAAACAAGCACATACATATATACATCTGCCTCGAACGGATCGGGGCGGTGGGGTATAAGCCTAGTGATTTGAAGCGTTCGCTCGTCACGCCGAATGGGTACGACGTGTGAAGCCAATTTCTGGTGTCCGCAGCCGTGATATTGCTGGAATATTGCTAAAACGGCGTAAAGCTAAACCTGTTCACACAATCTCACTCCGACTGAATCGTGTGCTCGGAGAGCTCGACCCGTGAAGATCCGGGTTAGAACTGATCTTCAGTAACCCATGCTTGTCGTAAGAGGCGACTAACGGGATCGGGTAGTCAGGCTGGCTGACATGGTTGACACATGTCATCGGGTCCCAATTGCGCAGTTCGATGCTCATACTGTTGATCACTGGATCGTCTGGTCCAGACTCGTTTATTTACAGACCTCCGCCATAAAGCTGGAATATTAATTGCGGCGTAAAACTAAACTCAACCACTCACTCACTCGGAGAGCTCAAGGCCGATGTCTCGATCCCTGGTCGCATCGTTCCAAACGACCACAAAGCCCACACAACACAACCCTCACCTACTCAATTCAAAACATCCACACCCTAACACACTCCACATTTGGGGCGGTGAGGTAACGTGGTTAAATTATTTGCTCGTCACGCTGAAGACCAGGGTTCGATTCCCCACATGGGTACATTGTGTGAAGCCCATTTCTGGTGTCCCCCGCTGTGAAATTGCTGGAATATTGCTAAAAAAAGACATCAAACTAAATATCGCTCATTCGCAATATCAACATTCGCATTCGTATGTGTATCCACACCTGCCGCCAATACCCAGAAACACCGAGGTGACATACCGACATTCTTCTGGTCAGAACAAGTGGGTTTAAAGGTATGTGGTTGAGGGAGAGGGTTGGAATTCCGTTGGAGACGGGCTGTATTTTCACGGTATTTAATGTTTGAAACAAAAATCTATTTTCAAGGGAAATGATAGAGCACAAGGTTTTCTTGTAGCCTCTCTCTTACTCTGAGAAAGGTGAAGTGACACATTAGTTTTCAACTCGCTGATAACATATTTTCAGTAAATATCCAGCATGCGCAACGTGTCTATTATGTGACTTTTTTTTGTTACAATGTTTAGAGGGTTTTGGTGGAGAAGAAATCTGCAAACAAGTATTTTTTCAAGCAATTCCGGAACATATATTTGTATTTAAGTGTGTTGGGCTTTGACTACATTCCGATGGATTGAATGACCATGTGGAGTGACAGATTCGCCCAGGGCACTGTGACAAAACTCAAGGACTTAACCCGAATTCACCCACACGTATCCTATTAGTTATGTTAGTTTATAAGATAATGAACCTTTTCCTGCTATTAGCTACTTATCTGCATCCCGTCGCTCTCGCCTGGTTACAGAGGCAGCATTGCCAATATGTCACTCTCCCTGTTCAGCCTGTGTTTCATACTCACGGTGTTTACGCACCATGCATGGGGATACACCAACAAAAAGAACGACAAAATGTCCGCCAGGTTTCTCCTTTTTGAACTCAGCCAAAATGCTCTTAAACAAGAGATGGATTTAAAGTTTCATACCTTGGAAAATCAAATTGCTGAGCTGAAAGTCACAGGGTATGTGGGCAAGGCAGTAGAAAGACTGAAAAGAAAGTATCAGAACATTGAGGGACTCCTTGGCAAACTTTCCGATCAGCTGAACGCTGTTCAGCAAGAAAACAAAATTTTAAAGGCTGAGATAGCTGCTCTGAAAAAGGTAGTTGAACCCGAGGCTGGGCCTCAAGGGCAGGTTGACAATGATGCATTTCCAGATACGACGTCCAGTGCGCCAAATAATTCAAGAAGAAAGGAAAAGACTGACAATCCTGTTGTTACCCCAAAAGCATTGTCTGGAGTGACTGGGGTGGAGGAGGACGGTACCCATAATGGTTCATCTACACCCGTGTCTGAAACGGATGGGGATGGAAAAACGGACTCTCTTCTTGAAGTCACAACAAAACCGTTTTCTGGATCGGGTGGAGATGAAGAAACGATCTCTGTTCTTGAAGTCACAACAAAACCGTTTTCTGGATCGGTTGGAGATGAAGAACCGAGCTCTGTTCTTGAAGTCACAACAAAATCGTTTTCCGGGTCGGTTGGAGATGAAGAAACGGACTCTGTTCTTGAAGTCACAACAAAACGGCTGTCTGAATCGGTTGGAAGAGACGTATCTGCTTCCAAGGGCCGCAATGGACGGCTTCTTGTTGCCCCTTGGGGCCATGCAGAACCATTGCAGGTGAATCTGTCCGACTACACCGTAAGTAATTATTCTCTTGGGATCAGTGACTATCAGTCAGTTGTGTTCATACCTAAAATTCAGTCCCTTATTGTCACAGGAATTGCGCCATTTAATTTGAGGAGCATAATATATGTGTCAAGGATTAACAGCAGCGATCTTCAACCGTTGGTTCGAAACTATGCTTGTCATGCCTCTACGGTTGACGAAGATAGAGAGCTCATCGTCGTTACAACATTTCGACCCAGGAAAACGGTCAGTTCTTTAAAATACGATGGCAGTGATCTGAAAACGATTGCAGATCTGTCCGCCTATAATTATCCGTACGGTTTGGCACTTGACTATAAACTGAGACGGATCTACGTATGCACCGACACGAAACTCCTATCAATGACCTACAACGGAAATGACGTCAGAGTGGTTCACTCTGGGAAGAACATAATGACAGTGACTGCAGATATGACTGATCGTGTTCTCTACTTTAATGATGACACTGGGTTAATGAAACATTCTTTGGATTCTGGAGAGACTGTAACGATGGTCAACCTTGCCTTTACACCGTGGAATTTCATACACGCAAGAGGATTTGACGGGTCAAACAATCTCTATGTGAGCAGTTTACGAGGAAGGATGGTCGGAGTGTTTAAACTCGACACCAACAGCAGCTATATCCCCATCCTGCCTGGTTGTACCCCTTGCAGATATGTGTCGGCCATTTGCCTCATCCCGTAAAAAGGGTGGCGGGGTAGCCTAGTGGTTAAAGCGATCGCTCGTCACGCTGTAGACCCGGGTTCGATTCCCAACATGGGTACAAACTCACTCACTCACTCATCCCTTAAAGGCATTGTCATCTCATGGCAGTAAATATTACTTTATATTATGCATTTGTTTAAAATCGACATTCAGTCGACCATCGAGTCGTGTCTTTGGATAGTAGCAGCTCATGACAGATGGAAATGTGTGACTCGGGTTTAAAACCACATTAATGGATATTTAAATTGTATAAAATGTATAAAACACTGTACAAATAAGAAATAGTTTAACTCGTACTTTATAAGACCTCTATAAGGCAACAAGATCTTACTACGTAATACAGCTAATCTTGATCTACCGTATCGTAATTAAGAGCTAGTATATATGTACAAATGTACTTCTCATCAAATAATTAGACTCACGAGTGGAAATATAGCCACTTACTTCAGGCAACTTTTCTAAACTAAACTTTGCAAAATATGCCATACTTTTTAAGGCACTGTTTACACATGAACTGATGTATTGTAAAACAAATTCGTAACGTTGAACAGATTATTGTCATGAGTTCAGTAAATGATGAAAATCAGTGAAAATTGGCTAATTTTTTAACAAAACTGCACATGCATGATATTTGCACATGCTTTACAGCGATTTGATGCATGGTCCTCCTGCAGTTCAGCGGCATAAAGTTTGCAGCTGGTTCCCCAAGTTAGTGGAGAAATCAATCTTCGATGTAACCATATTTATTATATAGGTAGTATTTTTCCTGTACCACGATTGGTCAAAATACCGTCACATGATTGACTACAAAACACGATATTGACTTGAGTTTTCTGATAAATTACGATATTGACTTGGGTTACTAAAAATAGACAAGGAATCCCGTACGAAGGGGCTTCCCCCGCTTTTCAGCCAATCAGATCACTCGGTTAGATGGCACAATGTGTGCATTAAAAGTTTATGTTAAAACCCGTTTCTCTTCATTATATAATAAAACAATTATAGACTCTTGTAGAGGTCGATATCGGTTTTATAAGAGTCTATAATTGTATATTATCATCCAAAACTGTGTTCTCCTAGGAGATATCGTTTTGACAGTAGATTTTGTACAATGCCCTGACAATGCTATGACGTCATGAGCTTGATGACGTCACAATGCTATGACACTGCTGCACTGCAAGTCTAATGGCAGAACGGTGTTCAGAGATGTACTTTTTTCAATGAAAACTAATGAAGAGTGATTTTGTACGATAAATAGAATTTCACTCTCGTGTCTTCTGATATCAATATATCAACCGTTGATAAAAGTAAAAATATCCTCGGCAAGCCTCGGATAAAACTTTATCAACTCGTGGTGAGATTCTCTATATATATAACATATATATACATAACATATAGTGAGTGTTTTAAGTGAGTCTAAATTGTTGAAGAGAAGTGTAATTGAGCCTGCCACAATAACTTGCCAGCATATATAATAATGAGAATATTTATAACTCGCCTTTTCAAGGGAATTTCTAGATATCCTGCTCACAATCTGACTATTATTACCCCGGATAACCCAAACTGCCTGTTAGACGCTAGAAGGTTACTAGTCTCACGACTTATTTCACTGGGTACCCATTTTCTGCTCGGTGAATAGACGCAATTTTTAACAAAGTCACTTGCCTGAGGTGAGGCCACATGTATCACATGTGCTTCGTTGTGGGGCAGGACTGAAGTCCTAGATACTTTCAGGAGTCAAGCTGTCAGACACGGTCACCCATCCAAGGACTCTCCGTGCCCAACGTTGTTTAACTTGTTTAAAGCCTTGTTCATAAACATATCAACTTCAGGATGGTGGCCTGTAGATAGTTTGTTGTTTGCTTGTTTGTATGTTTGTTGTTTATATGCCGCACTCAGCAATATTACAGCTATATGGCGGCGGTCTGTGATTAATCGAGTCTGGACCACACAGTCCAGTGATCAACAGCATGAGCATCGCTCTACGCAATTGGGATACGATGACATGTGTCAGCGAGCCTGACCACCTGATCCCGTAGGTCGCCTCTCACTACAAGCATGGGATGTTTGCTGCAGACCAATTCTAACCTAGGTTCCTGTAAATAGTAAAGTGTATACCTGACAAAACAGTGATGGATGTTATGAACAGCGTCTCACGCTGACAGGTACCATGACACGCAGAAGGCCTTGCAGTTGTATAGACTTGTGTGCCGAAAACAGTTCGGATTTGGTCATGTGGCCAAATATATGAATATGGGACCAAAACAGAATATTTCTCAATGGTTCATGACATGCAAAGAATCAAATCACCGCACCACACCACACCGCACCTCATCTCACCACATTCACCGCATCTGCCGCACCTCCTCACAGCACAGCACCCTCAAATCAGAACCCACACCGCACCTCACATCACCTCAGCAGCACTGCAAATCACAACACCACACTGCACCTCTTACACCCCAGCACCGCTGCAAATCATAACACCCTCACCTCACAGCACCTCACCTCACCTCCACAGCACCATCACCTCACCGCACCTTACCTCATCAGCCACTGCACCGCACTGCAAATCCACAACACCACACCGCACCACACATCACCTTACAGCACCGCACTGCAAATCACAACACCACCTCACAACACCACACCGCACCACACATCACCACACCGCACCTTCTCACCTCACAGCACCGCACAGAGCTGTACTGCAAATCATAACACCTCACCTCACCACCACAAATCACCTTTACCTCAACTCCACTGCACCGCACTGCAAATCACAACAACACCACACCGCACCACACATCACCTTACAGCACCGCACTGCAAATCACAACACCACACCGCACCACACATCACCTTTACAGCACCTGCACTGCAAATCACAAATTTCACACCACACCACACCACACCACACCACACTTCACCTTACAGCACCGCACTGCAAATCACAACACCACACCGCACCACACATCACCTTACAGCACCGCACTACAAATCACAACACCACACCGCACCACACATCACCTTACAGCAACGCACTGCAAATCACAACACCACACCGCACCACATATCACCTTACAGCAAAGCACTGCAAATCACAACACCACACCGCACCACTTATCACCTTACAGCAACGCACTGCAAATCACAACACCTCACCTCACAGCACCTCACCTCACCTCACAGCACTGCATCACACCTCACCTCACCGCACTTAACCTCACCTCAGCACTGCACTGCAAATCAATACACCTCTACTTCCAACTCACATTACGCACACCTCACCTCACCTCACCTCACAGCACTTCACCTCACAGCACCGCACTGCAAATCACAACACCTCACCTCTCATCACAGTACCGCACCGCAAATCACAACACCTCACCTCACCGCACCTCATACAGCTCACCTCACAACACCACACCGCACACCTCACCTCACCACCACAGGACCGCACTGCACCGGACTGCAAATCACAACACTCACCTCTCATCACAGTACCGCACCGCAAATCACAACACCTCACCTCACGTCACCGCACTGCACCGCACAACACCGCATCTCACTTAACTGCCTCATCTCATCGCATTGCACCGCACCTAAAATCACAACACCGCACTGCACCTAACCTCACCTCACTGCACCTCACCTCACCTTCACCTCTACTGGACCTCACCGCACCGCACCGCACCGCACCGCAAATCACAACACTGCACAACACCGCAACGCAACGCACTCCTCTGACTCTGTTTCCAACACCGCGCAACGGCAGACAAAGACATGTGGGATGAGGAGGGAACGTTCAATAAAATGCCAAAACTGTTCAGATTGAAGCAGTAATTGAGATCAATGTTGCGCAGTCATGATTCCTGCTTATGTTACAATGTTCCGCATACAAAACCTATCGACAGGATAACATATATACAGGGTTTTAGACCCCGTCGAACATAATGTTAAGGGCTACAATCTAACAACTAATGCATCAACAAATAACATTTAACACATGCGTATGTCATTTGTAATCAACGACATCTCCCATTATGTTACAGCATGTATGCTATGTTCAGTTGGTGCGGTGTTGATAAACCTAGAAACATACTATGGACAAATCGGGATTCGACGGGCATGTTTCTGGAATCGCTCAAGGGACACAAACTCTGCATTGCAAATGGCGGCGGTCGAGATGGCGGAGTGAATAAGTAAGGAGTATGGTTTTATGCCGCTTTTAGCAATATTCCAGCAAAATCACAGCAGGGATCACTGGAAATGGGATTCACCCATGTGGGGAATCGAACCCGGGTCATCGGCGTCATGACCGGACGCTTAAACCACTAGGCTCCACACCGACCCGCTTGACCATCCGAGTCAAAGTATGATATGAAGTACAATAGATATATATGTTTATTGCACATGTTGCTGAGTCGAAATTATTCATCTTGGTTTTCTGTATGGTATAGTCCGTTTGGCTCAAAAGCGGATCGATGAATTGCAATCTAACTCGAAAACTAATAAACATAACATACTCAATGAAACGCTGATCATAATCAAAACATCAGACCAACTCTGTGGTTTTTTCAAAATTTATGTCCTAAAATTATAAAGTTGTTTAACAAACTATCATTAAAATATTGACACAGTTCACTATTTGTTACGAGGAGGAGTGCAGAGAAAGGACAGCCAGGTGTGCGAGAAAGGATGGAGACGGCACAGCACAGGTTAATGAATCAATAACTTTGTCGGCACTTGTGCCGCGTGCTTCTCAAACACCTGGCTGTCCTTTCTCACAGTACCCCACCGCAAATCACAACACCTCACCTTTCATCACAGTACCCCACCGCAAATCACACTTCACCTCACCTCACTGCACCTCACCTCACCTCACCTCAACTCACCGCACCTCACCGCACCGCACCGCACCGCACCGCACTTAACCTCACCTCAGCACTGCACTGCAAATCACACACCTTACTTCAACTCACATAACGCACACTTCACCTCACCTCACAGCACAGCAGTAATTGGAGATCAATATTGCGCAGTCATGAATCCTGCTTATGTTACAATGTTCCGCATACAAACCTATCGCACCAGCTGTCCCTTTCTCTGTTCTCCTCCCTCGTAACAAATAGTTAACTTTGTCAAAATTTTAATGATAGTTTGTTAAACAACTTTTTAATTTTAGGACTTAAATTCTGCAAACAAATCACAGAGTTGGTCTGACGTTTTGATTATGATCAGTGTTTCATTGAGTATTTTATGTTTATTAGTTTTC